TGTCACTTAGGTGAAAACTTCTGCAGCACATGGGGCACTTTGGTGTACATATAATGAACACCAAAAATATATTTTGATTTAACATAGAATTTGGATGACTAAGAAACAGGATAGTACTAAAATCATACAACACTGAGAGTTTACATTAGTAAAAACACAGGAAATTCTAAAGCAAATTTTTTCTGTCCATAGCACAGTCCATTGCTTGGGCTTTTATTTTTCCCCTTCCAATTCCCATCTCTAAAACACACAAGTAGAATCAGACATTACATTGGGAAAAGGATATTAGAAAAAAATAACGTATATATATACAGCACAACTATATATATATATATACACAGCACAACAGAAATAGACAGAAATAGTGAATTAGTTTGGCTACAGGAACAGTGAAAGTTTTATATTTCCTAAAATAGCTCAGTGAAACATAAATAACAAAATGGCACTTCTTTGTATGGCTAATCGGTGTTTAACTCTCCTCAGTGTTTTATGGTGGAGTTTGTGTGACCAACTTTGTTCTGCTGTTTTCCTAAACTTGAACCAGGTGGGAATTTATTTAAGCGCAGTGGAGAAAGAACAATCTTCGAGCATCTGGAAAGTCTGGCTCACTGTGGGTGATGCCAGAAAACTACCAAAATTAATTCATTTTTCATCATCTTATAAATTGAATTATTGTGAAAGGAGAGAGCCAGAGGGTGTTCGATAAAGTCCTGACGACTTAATTTCCCCTAAGTATTAGGGGAGAGCACTGTCCTTGGTGATTCCTCTCCTCATCCTGCCATCCCTTGGGATGCCACATTCGCAGTTCCATCCTCCCCTTCCCTCCCTGTCAGGACAGCGCTGGGCACAGCGGGTGCGGGTTTGGAAGTCACTGGTTCTCAGGAGTTCACCCACTGGGGACCAGGTTGGTTTATCCTGGAGAACCTCCCTCCCCCAGGGCAGTGTCTGAGCATCCCCCGCATCCCGCTGCCATCCCTCCCATCCCGGCCACCACGGCTGGGGACTCGCTGGCTCCCGGGGCTCCCTGACCTCCTGGCTCTGCTGGAGAGCACGTCCTGGGGTGACAGGGATGCTCGAGACCGTGGGGCCCAGAACTCAAAGCCACCAGGCAAATAAGCTGCTCCTGTGTTTATTATTTATCGTGTTACTTCATAAGGTTTAACAGCACGATGTGCGTTCCTGAACCTTGACTCACAGTCCTGACTTTTCCAATTTATATCAAGTGCCCCTGCTCATACACTGTAGTGAAGAAGCACCCGGTCCAGCAGCACGAATTCACCTGCCCCCTTACAGAATTATTTGCTTTCCAGCAGGAATTACTCCGGCACTATTGGCTGCTCCACACAGCTGGCCCGACAGCCTCCCCCAAGCTCCCTGCCAAGGCACAAAGGGTTAACGAGCTCCTGCTGCCCATAGCCATCGCTCCTCCACCATCACGGCCCCTCAGCATCTGTACAAAGGGCCTGATTTAATCCGGGTTGCAGACGACTCACATTGTACTCGCAGCCTCGGAGTGATGTCGGGTGATCAGGTTTCCAACTAATATCCAAGGCACAGCCCGAGCACTGAGCGGGAACAAAGGCACCTTTGTTACTGAAGAAAAAAAAATCCCCTGAAGATATTAGCAGTGCAGTAGAGTTCAAACTGTTAAATGATTCAAATATTATTTAATGAATACATTTGAAATGAGGTCTCACAACCCAGAACACTTTTTAGATCATCGTTTACAAAGAGCCGCCTCTTCGCTTACTTCTTTATGAAGTTGCTGCTTTCAGATTGCAATTATGGTCATTTTGCTTCCAGCCTTTTTCAGGGACTTCCCATGTTGGTGTAGCTCAGTTCTTTTTATGGTACAGTTTAGCCAGTGACTACTGGGTTTTTCAGAAGTCCTGATAATCACATTCCTTTAATTTACCTTGGACTGTGTCTGTGTGAGAAGCAAGAGAGACAGAGAGACTTTTGCAAAAGGAGCAGCAGCATTAGATGTCGTTCTAGAGGGTGCTAAAGCCAAGCTTGTTAAACAGAAGTTTGGTAAATAAGCATATCAAGATTTTAGCTGGGATTGGAGAAGCTCTATAGTTCAGGCTCAACAAATACCTTGAATTTCTTGTGTGTCTTGGATACACAACTCTTAACCAGAAAACCGTGTAATTTTAGAGAGAAAAAATTAAGAATAAAGGTAGATGGGGTTCAGGAAAGAAACATACCTACAACCTGAGGAATAAAGTTTTAAAGTTAAATTAGGGCTTATAGCAATGAGAAATCCAAGGCTGCTCTGAAGCACAGACAGCAGATACTGTCCCCAGAAGGTAACAGCAGCACATCTGGGGCTCTGCTGGCACCTGTGAGAGGTTTTTAAAAAATACAGCATAACTAGCAAATGTGGGGAAAGAGCACCAGAACAGAGTGACTACAAGTATCAGAACAAGTACCAGCATACCAGCAAAAAAAGGCACAGGGCAGTGGCAGAAATACCTCCAGACTGTGTCTTTAGATGCACTGCAAAGAAATCACATCCCCTCACACCAGGCACCCTCCTGGCTCCACTGCCACGGGTGGGACCTCAAATAGGCATTGCTGAGGAGACAGGGACAGCCACACAGGATTTCACTTAACTCACATTAAGGGTCCTCTTGCAGGTGATGCCTCAGGTAGAAACAATTGAAAATCTGCCCCAAAACCTGGGTTCGACACATTATAATCTTTAAAGCTATTGTGAGTGCCAGAACACTGTTTGTGGTAGGGTTTGCACAGTGAATTCTGCCCACAGCAGGCAACAAGAAGAGGAGGCTCCCAGGAATGAAATGTCTGCAGCCATCATTCTGGATAATCTCTGCTTCCTGACAATTATACACTGTTGATTAAAATTCATTTTCCATATCAATTCAAGCAAGTAGAAAGTCTTTCATGAAAAGTTACAAAACTTCAAAGAAAATCTTTTCCCAATCATTTTATCAAGACACAATTCAATGGAGAAGACTCTTGAATTATATGAACTGAATAAAACCCACAGCAAAGGACTTGTGCTTCAGATTTTGCCATAAAACCATGGCACTGCATTTCAAGGACTTGATGTAGCTCCTAAACGTGGCTGAATCGACTGGGGCTTGGAACTGCAGAGTAAATTGCCTTACAGGACGTTTTCAAATTGCTCAAAGAGTATTTAGAAAGGCCTGAGGGTGGAAAATCCCAAAAGACCCAAAATCTCAGCAGATTTTTTTCCTGACATTTCTCAGTCTACATGTAAAGGTAAAAGACAGAAATCATTCTCCTTTCTCTTCAGTGATTGAAAATCCTTCAGAAAAAAGCAAATTCTTTACAAGTCCCCTTTAGATCACACTTGTGTACAGCCAAGTGATGGATTTCAAAGGTTACTGCTGGAATATGGTTCACAGCAGTCTATTGCAGTGAATAACTATCACGTTTACATATCCATTATATCAAAACTACGTTACACTTCCACTGCTTCCTGTTGGTTCACCATCTGGAAGCTAAACAAGCTGGTAGTAAAGACAGAATCCAATTCTGCATTTACCAAAGGAGCCTTACAAGCCTTCATTTACAGCAGGTGATTGCACAACCTGAGCAGGCAGAACCCTGCCCCAGAGCCAGCACTGAGGGCAACTCAGCCAGCCCCGGGAATGGGAGCAGCCAGGGAGGGACACCCAGAAGCCTCTCAGCCCCTCTGGTGACCCGTGGGAGGCACCTGCCCAGTCCCACCTCTGCCAGCCCAGCACGTCACAGTGGGCAGCCACAGCAGAGTCCTCCCTGCTCAGGAGGGTCAAGGTTCCAGGTGCTGCTCAGCCTGAAATCCCAAACCAAACCCAGCCCTGGGAGAGATCAGCCTTTGGGACTCCAAACCCAGCTCAGGAGCAAAATGTGAGTGCCTGAGATAAGAGACAGAGCTTTTTATAATAAAATTTATTTAATTAAATTTCATTGCCTGCTTTACTGTCAGTTGCACCAGAGACTGCCAAAGCAAACTAAACATTGTACATCACTACAAGATTCTCTCAAATTTTCACAACTTGTCCAAATCCATGGAATTCAAAGGGCCACTTTCCCTCTGCGTTGCCACACGTGAACAATGGCAGGACACAGCTCCAGGACCTGAGCCCTCGGGTTCCAGGGTCCTTCAACAACCCCTGTGTGTGTGTGTGTGTGTGTCATGCCTCTGCATTCACCAGCCCAGCCTCCTGGTGGGACAGGACAAACAACCCCTGAACTAACCCAGAAAGGAAACTTAACACATCACTGTGGGGCTGGGGCGTGGATGCTGCAGGGCACAGGTGAGGCACCAGTGCCAGGCAGGTGTGGCAGTGCCAGCGTGCACAGCACCTGGACAAGGTGCACAGCACACCTGGCCCATGCTGCCAGGGCAGCAATGTTTTGTCTCTGATGGTAACAGAAATCAGAGCCCTCCTGGGAAGTCAGGCAAGGCTTGCCCTGCCAAGGGTGCTGGGAGGAAACCAAGCATTAATAGATCTTTATATAACTAGTGCTTTTAAAAATACTTTTTCTTTGATCTAACAAGCATTAGGATAATGTCCCCGTTATGTGCTCAGAATAGTTCCTTAAACATGCTGAAGACCTTTTCCCTAAGGAGTTTCCTACAGGAGGCATTTGTTATCCCAGGGGCTCTCACACATCAGCCCCTCACAGACAGCAGGGAAACATGTCAGGGGCTAAACTGAAACTGTCATCATATCTGCAAGTCTACATCTCCCTAAGTGTATTTCCAACATGAAAACAGCTCAAATCACAATTATATTCCATTGCTGTGTGTGAAATCCAGAATGCCTGCATGGCTTCCAAAGGGAAGCTCTGGAAAACAGCCACTGCACTGGCAGGAGTATTCCTGCAGGGAAGGGCTGACCCTGTTCTCACTGCCCAGCCTAAGATACACTGGAAAATGCCCTACAGGTACTGTCAGTGTACTTCTCTAAAAAGTAGCTTCTGGAAAATTTCAAGTTGCAAATTACTTTATAAATCACAAGCCATTTTTCCTTAATCTTGCCAATTTTAATGAAGAAAACTGTTAGCATTTCAATGTACAAAAGTCCAATAAAACATGATTTTTTTTCTTTTAAATCAGTGAGTGGGTAAAGTTTGGGTTAAACTTATTCAACAGTAAAAGTCTTCCAATTTCCACTAACATAAATTTTTTTCTGATTTGACTAGAGGATAATGACAATCCAGAAATAAATAGCTATAAATACATTCATTGTTCCTATTCCAAAAACTCATCACATAGGGAAGACATAAAACTGAAATTAACTTGTTTGAGTGTTCCTTTACAATGAGAGATGGGCAAGTTAGAGCAGAGTGACTTGGACAGGAGAGAAAACAAGTAGGGCAGAAATTGGTCCAGTATTGACATTCATGAACATACCAGTTAGCAAAATTCATCCTTTAAATGACACTACTCAGTTGATTTTTTATTTGCTTGGGGTATACATAATGAAAGCAGTTTCCTTGGAATCTTTGCTAGGACAGGTATAGCACCCGGAGACACTGTAACCACCCCTCCTGTGTGCGTGTGTGTGGAGTTATATACAGAGTCATGCACCCACACACACGGCCAAGGTCCGGCACCGGCGTCCGTCCGGTCACTCGTCATTGGCAGCGCTCGTTCCTCTCACTTGGCCTTGGTTACGCAGCTGTGGAGAGAACAAGGGCAAGTTCTGCATTAGCAGCTTCTTCACACACAGCTCCAAACATGCAGGGAGGTTATCTCCAGGGACAAGCAGGACAGGGACTCAGAACGCCACCAGGACTGAGAGTCACACCAAAGCAATGCCGGCTCCTGAATCTCAGTGGGAGCTGTCCTTGGGTAGGACCTGCCCCCAGGGGTGGGAGCAGCTCCCTTCACTGGGGAGCCCACACTGATCAGTGGGATGTGGCACCTTGGGCTGGGATGTTACACCAGTCCCTGTGAGGAACAGCAGCACAGAAGTGCTGGGCACAAGCACCAAGAGGCTGTAACTCCTGCAGTAACCGTTCTGACACAGTTCGGTGTCTATGAAGACTGGGTGGAACTGGATTCCAAGAACTGAACGTGTTTGGAAGGTGATGCTCCACAGCTTCCCTGAGTGACATGGACCAAGTCCCCAGATCACTTTGCCACTCTGTGTGCAGCAAAGCGATGCTGGTGTGTCTGACTGGTGTCCAGAAGGGGCTGAGCCAGGGCTCAGCAGCACATCTCACACCTCTGGTGTCAGCACTGGGTGAGCACCAGGCACCAGGGCAGGTGGCCAACGCTGCAGGAATTCTGCTCCCAGCCTCAGTGCCTGCATCAGTGGTGTGTCCTGGGCACTGTGGGTCAGTCCCACCTGCTGATCACCGCACTACAGTACCGAGCAGGAGGAAGGTAAGGCCCACGTGGGTTATGTGGACATTAAGATGATTTCTGCTAGCAATTCCCATCCAAAAGAACATTAATCCCTCTTCTCCTTTTCCATCCAACAGTTGACTTACACAGCTCGCTTTGCCTCAGAACCTACAGAGAACTCCTCTAGACGTCCGCAGCCAAAGTGCCTCGAACGGAACCCTTCTTACGCATCTGAAGTGAAATAAAACGTGAGCTCCACACACAGAACCTGCCACACCGTGGTTAGTATGAGAGAAGGAATGACCTGCAGGGCCAGGATCTGCTTCTCCCTGGCCAGGGCCAGGATAAGCTACAGCTCAAGGGGTTTGGCCATGGTATGGTATTTCTTTTTGGCAAGGAGACCTGGGAACTGGAGAGCAGCTGTAAATAATGCTGCTTGAATTTTTACCAAGCCCACGATGCTCCAGCATGGAATCACTGCTCAGGATACCCAGTGTGGCATCTCTACCCTCACATAGGCATGAGAGAGGTTGGTCACAGGGCTCTGGCTGGACCAGATGCTTTCCTACTCTGCACTGATGAGCTGATGCATGTTTCATGGAGCAGAGGTGCTTCTCATCTCCAGCAGCCAGAGACAGAATCCACCAAGTGAAACAAACAGTGATAAAAAGATGGACTGGGATAGAGGAACTCTGGAAGAACACTAATGAGGATTCAGAGAGTAACAGAAAGTAACAAAAGCAGAGATCCTGACTATAAAAATCGACTGAAGATGAAGCACAGGAGCAACAAAAGAACTGGAATGTGCACAGAACCCAGAGAAAGATCAGCTCGGAGCAGAAGGAAGAAAGAGTGTTCATGAGAAGGGGAAGAGTACCAGGACACTGTGTGAGAACATGCACTGCCAGCCCTGCTTTGTGCCTGGTTTGGCTCTCAGCATCACAGAACTGCCTCGGGCAGCCCTGTCCATTCCTGACCACCCTGCAGGAACAGGGGCATGGACATATCTGTGTCACACTGAGCACCTCAACCCTGAGCATTCACTTCCCAGAGGTCCTGGCCATAAAACACACTTTGTGGTGAACTGGGGATGTAATGGCAATTACTGGTGAGCACAATGGATGGAGTAGTTGAATATGAAACAAGATGACAAAGTATTTTGGATAAAACTAGCATTCATATTATTTGGCAGTGATATTTTTGCCCTTAGGTTGTCCAATAATGCACTGCACCACGAACCCATGGAAATTACATCATTTATAGGTGTTTGTAGATACCCCTCTTGCAACAATTGGAAAAACCCCAAGACAGTAGGTCCTCACTCCTCTCACATTTCACAACATCCACAGAAATCGGGGTTAGTGTAACACCATACATTTATCTTGTGCAAAAAAGCAGACCAAAACAACCCAACTTTTTCAACAACACACAAACTCCAAATTCCTGACACTAACATCTTACACGAAAAGCTATTTGCAAAAAACAATTTGCCTTTGCAAAATGAGAAAATATTAAGTAAATACCTTTGATGTTTAAGAATGAAGATAAATGTTACACCCAGAGACACGTGAGCTGGGTTTGGCTTAAGGTAAGAACTAAAAGAGCAGCAAATATTTTGGAAAAAAATATTATAAAGGAGCTACTTACCAGTGAGAAATGTGAAACAAAACATCCACAGTCCACAGAGACACAAAGGAACAATTTCATCATGCACACAGGTGTGTCAGGTTCTGCTGCCTCTCTCCAGCACACCTCTGGTGTGCACTGCTCACTGCCACTACCCTTGCTCAGGGAAACTGGAGAAAGTCTGTTTCAGTGCAAATGAAGAACTATGGATGTGCAAAAGGGAACCCCTTCTGGCAAAAATCAGTTTAGGGAGGACAGCTGTTATGCTTCCTCCTCCAGAGACACCTGGGAACAGGTGGCTCTAGGAACAGGACCAGGCATAAATTAGAATTCAAGAAGAAACCTCCATGATTTGAAAGAACAGCTGCCAAAAATACCCAAATGAGAGAGCACAAGGTCTGCAAGAGTGAGTGAACACCAACCTTGTCCAAGGAGTATTCTGGGGCTGCTGACCCAAACCCTCCAGCTTTATGGGTAAAGAGCATTTGGTGCTACAGCTCAGCACAGAACCGTGAAGAAACACTTCTTCCAAAGCCAGGAAACATCCCTACACAACACAGGCTGTTCCACACTGTTTGCAAAGTCTCTGGACAGCACAAGTGGGGAGGAGGAGCTGCAGCTAGTTTGGTACCAAGAGCAGACACACCAGGCACAGACCACAGGATGTGTCACAGGGCCCCTGTCCACAGCTGGTGTGAAGCAACCAGGTTAGAGGTGTCTGGAATGGGTCAAACCATGCAAACAGAAGCTGTAGCTGAAGACACGTTGTGTTTTGGAAGGACCATGACACTGGAACTGTCTGGGTAACCTGACTGCGTTTGGGGCATGAGGCAATTGTCAAAATGGGGAGAAAATACAACTGCAAATCCGAGAACTGCAAAAATGCCAGCGGGATTTAACATGGGAAAGGTTCATGCCAAAGGTCATGTTCTGGAAAGAATCTACAGAAGAAGAGTCTATGGTGACCCTCCACCTCTAAATGGAGAGAGCAGTGACAGTGCCCTAAGTCTGAGCTTTCTTCCAGACATCAGCCCACAACACATCAGGCCACACAGATTTGGTCCTCACAGCCACTAAAGCAGGAAAACTGACATGAAAATCTCAGCTGATTTTACTGACTTTCTTTTTGGAAGTAAATCTTTGGTTTGGTGTGCTAATCAGAAGTGGAACAGCTGACAGGTGACACAAACTTGCTTGAAAACATGCTTGAAGAGACAAAGTAATCAGATCTAGTGATGACTGGAAATGAAACAAAGCAAGACACGTGATGGAACAGGACAGTAACAGCTTTGAGTTCCAACCAACAAGTGACAAAAGGGCCCTGAACAGAACTTTGTGCAATGGGAGTGGTGCCATAAAGACAGAGGCAGTCAGGGCAGACATCCTGCATTTAATGACATCACAGGTACTTACCTTACAGCACCTCCAGCGTGACAGCACTGAATGCAGGGGGCTTGAAGCACGTGGGGCTGCACTCAAGGAGCCACAGTGCTCACCAGCAATTGCCCAAACACACACACACACAGGCATGGACACCACACAACTTGCCTCAGTTTCTGCACAGATAAATCTGCAGGTAGAAGCATGCACATCTGAGCCTTTAAAAAAAAAAGCTTTCTTACCGCTTCCAGCTCCTTCTGGGTTTCATCCTCCATTCTCCTGATGTCCTCCATAGTCAGCTCAATCCACTTGTCAATCCAACAGAACAGCTGGCGGTGGAAGTTGGTAAATATCCTTTTTTCTTGCTTTAAGAAGATAAACAAGCATTAGATCACAGGTAGGACTTGCTAAAGGCTGGTGAAGTGATAGCAGCTGCTCAGTTTGAAGAGTTAAAATCTTCAAGTGAGTGCTGCTTCACACTGCTATGGATTTAGCCACCTCACACCTCTGGACCCAATTTAAATTCACCTCATTTCTCAAATTCTTTAACATAGAAAAAATGCAAAAATTTCACTATCAAAAAAAGTTTCAAGAAAGTTCACTCATTCATATTACTTGAGAATTATGAAGAATGTTGTTAAAATCTGTTCCAGTTTCAAAGTGGCAGCAGCAAAACCAGTACAGCCACTTCCTGAAGATTTTGTTTTTTTCCCCTAGAGAACTGTTCTGGTACTTGCAGTGAAGCCCCACTTGCAGCAAACCAAGACACAAACGGTTTGACTGGCTGGGGAAATGGAATTCCCTGGCTGTGAGCAATACGAAACTGCACCACTGTTCCTGCTCAAACCCCCAGATCAACACAGCCCCAAAAGGCAGAAGTACTCACCTTTTGTATAAAGTTTTCCACTTTGTTTTGCAGTCCCCACCACTTAAATTTGATGGTCACCAATTTGTAAGCACACATTTTGGGACACTCCTCATCGGTTGCTAGCTCCTTCTGTTTGGGGATAATAGAGGACATTTTAATACTTTAGAAATTTAATTATTAGAAATTATAATTCTAATTAGCGCATTAAAATGATAATATAATTAATTTATAATAAATTAATTAAATTTAACTATGTTGTTAGGATAATCAGCATTATTACAGAAAAACAACATTCTGATCATTAACTTGGGGTTGTTCCTGACAGCGTCCCTGTGATTCACTCCAGGGCACAGCACTGGGCTGCTCAATCCCTGTGGGGATCTCTGGTGTGGCACACACAGCCCATCCCCTCCTGGGAGAGATTCTGATGGCTGGCAGGGGGCACTGGCAAGCTCTGTGCTGCTACTGGGGACACTGAAGTGTCACATGGGGGATGTGCTGGGCCACAGGAAATTTGTTCCTCAGCTGGAGCTGAGCCAAGCTCTGAAGGAACCATGAACTTCATTCTTCTGCTGATAAAGACTACATAAGGCTGTAACAACAGCTCCTGGTACCTTCCAGTTTGGCCCCAGAGGTCCTCTCTTTGTCTTAACTGACTGGAATAATGCAGGATCTTCATCAGCTTTGTAGTCCTGTAAAATAAAACACTCTGAGAGTCAGAAAACACCACCAGATTCAATATCCCACTGTGTTAAGCTTCTGCTGCCTCACCATGGACAGCTCTGCTCACTCCCTGTGCATGGGGGGAAAGCCAATGGGTACAGAGCTGAAAGGGACAAATGCTTCCAACAGATGGATTTACTGAATTTTACTGATGAGGGGTACGAAAATGATTATTTGATAAAGATGCTGCCACAGAAACTAGGAAAGGATTAAAAACTCTGGGCTTAGTGAAAGCAAGTAAGGTTTATACTGTATATAAAAAGCATTTATCCAAGATTAACATTACACCCACGCAACCCAACTGTAACAGTTTAAGTGGCTTCAAAGCAGAACAACTGCTTGCTACAGAGAAGTCCAAGAAAGTTTAGCAGGATTTAAGATCTCATTTTTAAATTAAGTTTCAGTGGAGCCAAAATCTGCAGAACACAGAGTGAAAGAAACACCTCCAAGAGAAGCAGCTCCGGGCTGCTGAAGACCACATCAGTTTTCAGCTCCAGGTTCTTCCATCAGCACAGAGGAACAGAGGCTACTGCTAGACTAAATTCTGAATCCACACAGCAAGGCTACACATATTAACTGTTAATGCTTTCACAGACATTCTGACATTTACAAAAACCTACTGTAAGCCAAATGGAGCTGAAAAATCCAGGAAGTCCTCTCAGAGGAATATGATTTCACTTACAGAACATCAGCTGTTACACTTTCTTCTCCCCAGTCTTCTCTCATTGTTCCCAGTTCTTTTAACATATCTACCTACACTGCATATTCAAATAGGCTGAAGAAACCCTAATTTATCTAGAAAACTTTACTAGGTGCTCAGATAAACTTCCATATTAAGGACTCAAACATATACTTTGGGAATTGAGCAGGCATTTCCTAGAAGCAGCCAAGTGAGTGAAGACATTTCAGTCTCATTGGTAATCTGTGTTTTATGAACTTTCACAAACCAGGACTCTCCTCTAGTTCTCCCCCTAAGCTGAAACAACATTCTAGTTTGAAGAACTCACACAACAGTCAGCCAACCTCAGCAGGGGCTGCCATGGTGCTCCACAAGCTTTCCCCTGCCTCAGAGTCTGAGGAACCAGCGTATTTGTCACCTGAATTTTAGTGAAACCCACTTATTTATGACTTTAGTATAATAAAGCATGTCCTTTCCACAGACATCACAAAGAGCAAATACACAGCAGCACAGGAGATCCAGCCCTGAGTCCCCTCCTGCTGCACTGAGTACAGCACTGAGCCAAAGCAATTGGCTGTGTACACTTTTTAAAAATTATTTTTTAACAATCCTTGTGTGGGAAAAGAGTCACCTTCTTTATGTTTAAATCACCTTTAAGATAGCTATGCAAATACTACAGCAAAATGTTTTTACAGAAATATATTGAATGTTTTAAACTACTGATCATGACTGCCTTTTAAAAATTTCATTTAGCCACTGGAGAGAAGACACTAAAGTGAATCAAGCTATAGCAATGGCTAAACAATTTTACTGTGTAACCAATTGCTGGCAGAACTGCTGCTGGTTTGGGGCAGCAACATGCCAAACAAACAGAAACACAAGAATTTCATCTTAGTACCAGTTTTATAAATAAAACCAGGTACTGCATTGAGACAACCCTGAATTTATTTTCACTGTGTGAACATCCTGCCAAGGCAGAGCTCACTGTAGTGGTGTGAGGCATGAGGCATTTAAACTGAGCTACATGTGCAGCCTTGATCTGCCTGGTTTATGGAGTGGAATGATTTGTCTGGATACCCCAGGGACACTCAAGTCCACACGGTGCTGCTACCTGCAATCCTACCTCCCATTGCACAGGAACACTGGTAAAAAAAACCTGTGCTCTTGCATTTAGGGCCCACATACAAATAACCACAGCTGGAAACACTGGGGAAGAAAATGTTATCTATGAGTAAGATGTAGGAGTGAAAACAGAAATTCCGAGAAAACAGATGAGTCACAGTAAAGTTTTCTATGCTAGAGACAAGAGCTTTGAACCAAGACTTTTTAGAACACAGTTAACCCAAATCCTGTTAAGGACAGGAAAAACCCTTTATAGACTAAAGCCTAGATGGACAGGAGAGCATTGCAGGAACTCCTCTCTACACACAAATCCTAAAAGCATGCAAGGAAGAAGACTGGACTAGAGCCAAAGTACAAATAAACAACAGTTCTTTGCAGAGTTTAAGGAAAATATCTATGCAGCAAGAGCTTAACTCCTGACAACAACAAGTCCTTCTTAGGAAGAAAAACAGGCAGCTGCTGGAGCAAATATTACAGCTCAAACCCCTGAAGCTCCCTGGAAAGCCAGAAAGACAAACATCAGCCTGCAGCAGCATAACAAGACAGAGGAGCAAAACCATTTCAAAGAAATACACAAATACCATTTCACAGGCAGTTTCTGCTCAAATTCTCAATACAATATGCATGAGTGCAACCATCTGTTATCAAGAATGAATTAGAGAGTCCCTGAACCACATACAATAAAGCAGTATCACAACAAACCCAGAACATGGACACTTCTTTACAATTCTGTCAGTCTGTAGACCTGCTCATAATAGTAACAGTGCTCCTGAGAACTCATGGTTCACTATCAAATGGTACAAAAATTCAAAGCATATATACAGGAGAGAATGATTTTTAAAAAACTTTTAGAACTTAACGTGAAAATTACACAAGACTGATGCCTAATCTGCAAACCCATGAAAATTGAACTGAGCATGGGAGTGAGATCACACTAACTAGGTAGATGGACATAAATTCTAGCTTTCCAGCTCAATATTGTATTGGTGTTTTAAGCAAAATCATGTACATACTACTGGTGTTATTGAGCAAAAAGCTCACCTACAGATCCTGTGGAAGGAAACACTTACCAGCACTTCCCTCCAATGTCATCCACAGCTCTGAGTGCTTAGTGCAGCACAACAGAAGATCAAAACCAGGTTTATCCAAGTATATCATATTCCCATATCTTATAACTGAAACAGTCACCAGCACCACTGTACACTGCCCTGACATGCACTCGTGTGTTTTAGGTAGGTTTAGCTAAATGGCTTTTAATAAAAAATGTCTTGCAATCACTCCCATCTCCTGAAGAGTCCTGGAGCTGCAGCACAGCTATCAGGGGAACCACTGCCTGACATCACTTTTGAAAGAATGCCAAGGTTCAAATGAGAAATGACACCAGCCTGCTTATCACGGACGTACATCGTGGTGCCATGCCCAGAACGAGAAGTTAAAGGTCTCTAGGAACAAGGCTGGAAGAGATGAATATTTATAAACATCCAGGACAGGATGAAAAGAGGGGCATAAAACCAAAAGCACATTATATTTGTATACAAACAGGCTGTCCCATGGGATGTGTCATAGCATGATGATTCCAAGGTTCAGCACTAATAACGTGGAGCTGTTTAGCTGCCTATCGTGATAAATTAAGTCTGAAATGGGAGAGATCCACCTATCAAGCTCTGTAACTTGAGAATCTTTTAAGACTACAGAAGAGCAATTCCTATATTCCAATATATTTCCTCAAGATAGAAAAATGGACAGCACACAGAAATCCAAACTCTTAAGGCGTGTGTAATCTGATTCGTACAAAATGGGAATTTTAGAACTTACTTTCAAGTAATAAAGATCCACTATGACCTAAACAAGACATTTAATGTCCTCATTGTACAAAAATAGCTATAAACCTGAGTTCAATTTGTTTTCTCTACACTCTACTTTTCTACAAATTGTTTCCAAAACCACAGCCTCCTCTGATGTTAATCAAGTGCTCACTTTTGCTTACACTTTAAAAAGTCTTTCTCTCCTGGGAAGTCACTTTTATAGACAAACAACATAAAGTGACACAGACTGTATGCTGGAGACGATTAAGAGAAGGCAGGGTTAAATGTGTATCTAAAGAAAAGTCACAGCTGTCACCCAAATTATTTCTATGCATACTTCAATGAGCACAAGTCAGCACATGCATGCCATCAATAGCTTAAAGAAATTTGTATTTTCATATTTATGCTGACTGTAGTTCTGAAACTAAAGTAACTGCAGCACCACAGGAGAGTGGATAATGTTCATTCACAGAACAAAAGGATACAACTTGAATACACGACAAGTTTTTCAACACTGCTGGATTTTACAGATGTAGCTCCACTCTTTCAGTTCTACTATTACCTGAGGTCGTGCATTTGAGCTTTTCCAGGCAAAACTATGTTTGAGAAAATAAATGTACAAATAGACCTCTCCTTTGGTAACACTGACTATTGCTTTTCATTAAAAAATGGAGCAGATCAAAAAACCTCACCCAGCCACTTAGAATTATAATTCCCAAACAAGCACCATAACAAAAAAAAAAAAAAAAAAACAACAAACCATACCAAGCACACGATTTCAGACATTACCCCACAGAGTGAACTGGTGATAGCTTGAATATCACTGAACAAAGATGAAGAAACTGCAGGAAAGAAACATCTGACATTCATGTCTCTGTTGGGTGAAATCCACACCATTTTAGCTTATTCACTACCAGCACAAAGCACAAGTGGAATCAGCTGCATGCTACACCCCAGGCCCACCAGAGAACATTTACTTACCCCTGGTTCTACTTGAGTTCTATCTGCAATGTCAATATGGACAACCTCAACACTCTTCCATGTGTTTGGATCTAAATTGTGAACCTGCAACAAAAAGAAGGAATTATTCCCATGCTGGGAATCACACAGTGATGCACCTTGTGCAGTCCATGTGTGTGCCAGGGAGTTTTTCAGGATGCTGTAAAGGCAGCATCCTCCAAACCTACCCTTTCTTCCTCTGCCTTTCTTAAAGGGAATGATTTCCACAATTACAGTTTAATTCAGTCATTAATCAATTTTAAACCAGCACAAAGCATTCACTTCTTGTGCATTCAGGAAACTTGGATTTAAGATTAAGCTGTATTCATCTGTCACATTTGTTAGCCCTAATGAAATCAAGCTCTAATTAGAACCATTACCCATTCCATAATCTGCATTAACTTTTCGAGCTAGAAAGGAGGTGTCAAAATTCCAAGTGCAAATATGCAGATTTCAACAACCTAAGTGATTTCATAGGTTTCCTGAAGCACAGGACTGCCTTGAAGGTGGACCAGATGTAGTCTGAGGGTGTGTAAGAGTCTGAGGATGGAATCAGCTCCACACCTAAACTCAGACACACCCAGAGGAGCTGTTCAAGAACAATCCCCCCTCTGTGCAGCACACCCAGAGGTACAGCTCACCCAAGCACTGGAACTGGCAACTGCTCCTCTCCGGATGGTTTATAAATGTTTATTACTACAGATAAAATTTTCCTGAAGTGACACATGACCCAAATTGACTGGGGAGAAAAACAAGAGCATCACCAGCTGGGACAATTTACAGAGGCAGCTTCAATATTTAACTACACAGTGTTCACAGATCAACTCCAGTAGTCCTGTGAAACCTGTTCTCAAATAAACTTGTCAGCCTAACTCTCAGTAGCATGTCTAAAGTAAAATAACATGAAATAACAAAAAAGGACTTGCTGAAAATCTATTTAAGTATTTGCATGAGAATCAAGCATCTGTATTGACTTCTAAACATAAAAACTAAACCTCTTCTCCTGTCCTTGGATCTCCTTAGATGAGACAGCTTGACCACCTTGCAAGGACCTAAAAATGCTTTTCTTGCTTTACTCAATGGTCAGACATTGACTTTATGCAGTAATTATCCACCAGTACCAGGTATAGAATACTTTATCTGTACTAACTGTACAATTGCACTAAGGCTTGGTATCCAAATCCCAACTCACGTTCTCTGTCGTTCCCAAATCTGGTTTATGCCAGGTCTCAATTTTTATGAAGAAGTCATCTTTCATGTATTCATTCTGTAAGAATTAAAAGCAAAACGCACAAGTCTGATTACACCTCTCTGCTCTAAGTTTAGATAAATTATTATCTTCATACAAGCCACTACAAATCCCTGACTAGCAATACAATCTATGAAAATTACCAGAGAAACAGCCCCTTTACCTACACACAGAAACAGGTACATGATAAATCTGAACTAAAGTAGTGAGTATTAAATTAAAACAAGCCATGTTTAAGAAATCCAGCTCTACTTGTGCACACCAGTGGAAATAACCCTGCCATTTGCTGTCCAGCTTCCTCAACCCTGAAGTTCCTTACCTCAATATTCAACTAATATTCAAATTTTTAATTCTGCAGTTAGATGTTACTGTACAGCACAATTACAATCACAAAGCTGGATCATAATGGTCCAGCTGCCACCAAATTGTAGACAGTGACAGAGCCCTGCTGATTCCAGAAGGGAATGCACAAGTATCAGCATGAGTCAAGCTCAACAGTTCAAACTCACTTGTTGTTACTCCTTGTGTCACATCCACATGGTAACAATCTAAACCATGTTTGCAAGTGAGCAGATAAAGCAGTTTAACATTTAACTAATAAGTTTTCATTAAACAGGTCACCAAAACATGTAAAATGGCATTAAAATCTTTAGGACATGCCTCCCATACATCTTAAAAAACAAAACCCAAATCCTGAGCTATGCTGATCCATTTAGATTCCCACTTCAGATGAGGCAGGAATTCATTTTACAGCAATGGCATTTCAGACAGGCAGGGACTGATTCCATTTCACTGCTCTTCCTGCATTCAAGAGTGTAGAAGCCTCTGATATGTCACTTTTCCCCTCCTACTTTTTTTAGTATTATGTCTTACCAGGACAGACATTATGCATCTGTAATGGTAATTAAAGGCATAAAAGAAGACATAGAAAATGAAGTAATTTCTCTGACAAATTACAGTTCTAATTACAGCCACGTGCAGACAAATAAAATAACAGGGAGCTCTACACCAGGAGTCCTAGCAAGGCACATATGTCAGGCTGGAGTCTGACAACTGTAGTGGTAGTAACAGACAAAATCTATATCAAAAAACCCCAATATATAACTGGTAGGATTTCAAATACTCACTGTCACAACTGGTGTCGTTGGAAAACACGTGCAATGAAAAGGAAAAGAAAAGACAGAGCATTATTAGATACAATTGTTTCTGAAAGGTCTCACATACAAAAACACCAAGAAAAGAACACACATGGGGCAGACTCACTTGTTCTACAGTAGGGATATGCATTCCAGGCCTTCTCGTGGAACACCAGGGAGCCTTCTGGAGCAATCATCCTTACAAACCCAGGGACTTTACTGGGAAAACAAACACGGACAATGTGTTTAAAAACCTATCAGCTGAAAATCCTCATTGGTTCCTTCCACTCCAATAAGAAAGGCACATTCTACCCGAATTTGAGGGGTTAAGATGCACGTGGTGGCTTGCAGTAAAAAATACACAGAAACTTCAAAATCTTTCCTGACCACAACATGATTAAGAAAAAAATGAGAAAGGTAATAATAAAGTAACTGAGAGTGAGCTGTCTGATCACAAGGAAGGCTGTGCTATCCTTCCTCTTGCAGAGCAGCAAAGACACCTGCTGAGGAAGAGCACTGCTCAGAGCCCTCACCTCCAGCTCCCTGGCAAGCAGCTCCTGACCTGCAGCATGAACTTTATGTGCCACTCATCTCTGACTCCTGTCTAGAGCAAGCAAACAATTCCTTCAGCTGTCCCAGACAAGAATCCCACATGTTTAAAATTCACCCATCACATCTCCCCACTCACCAGAACACTCATGCACAATTCAGCAAATTACAAAACGGCAGAAAAACACACACAAGTGTCCCAGAATAGCAAACAATGGAAGGCTACCCTCACCTTTAAACATTTCTTGCTCAATACCAAGGGACTACAACACGCATCAAGGCTTTTCTCACCTCTTTAAATGGTAGATTTTGTGAGTATATTGTCCCTTTTCGCCATCCTGTTCATAAGGCTCATTTTTTAAGACCTGAATTCCTTCTCCACCTCCTGTTTCGTTTTTGCTAGCTTCTGCCACAGAATAAAGTTGCCCGACTTGATACTGAAAATGAAAGAGAAGTCAAATGTTAGCACCAAAGTTGGCCAAAACTTTTAGCACGTTAACAATTAGCTGTTTCCTTTGACAATTCAGTAGCACAAAAAAGATTACCAGCAAAGTAAAATACACCATATAAAATATATTTAATGAATTCTGACAACTTTTGGGCAACACGTATCTGCAGCTCACTAACACCAGGTTTACACCCAGGCTGTTCCACAGCAACCCAACACTTTGGTGCACACCATAACTTCATTTTTCCTATCCCAAGAGCTAAGTGCATTTGTTATTCTCAGCTGCACCAAGAAATATCAATTTTGAGTTTAGATTTTGGAGTGACCGATTTCCAGCTCTGAGCCTTCCCAATTCACACTTTCAACCAACTAAATGCTGCCCTTACAGGACCCAGGACACACACACTACAGAACAAGCATAACCTTTCCCTCAGAAGCACGTTCAACACGCTGTCATGACAGACATCCTATCATGACTCTCATTTAAATGTGCTTCAGTGCCATTTGAATTGCTGGCTTCAGATCTGGGAAGACAATTCCTACACCTGAGTGCTGGATCAGCAGCAAAGTGCTGCCACAGGGCACAACTCTACTGGCAGCAGTGGAAGGCTCAGAACACCTCAAGGCTCTGTGCTGCATTTGCTTCCTTGGAAATTCCCTGATCAGAATAAGGCTCACCCCTGTGTCACTCATCTCTGTCAGCACAGCCACAGCACAGGGAATGCCTGGTCACATTTCTGGCACAAACCCCCTCCCACCCCTTAGTCCAAATAAAGCAAAGAGGAACAGGACATACCTCTTGCACTGAGCAAGGTAAAACCACTCGGCTGAAAGAGGAAAAGAGAAAATTCAGTAAAATGAATCGTTAGACTTCACCTGCAGATAACAGACACAACACAGATGCTCAAGAGAGGTGTCAAAAGGAGCCAATTCAACTTCTCTTCAGAAATCTCTGACAGGGAGGCTTTGGATATAATAGAACAAACCCAAGTAAAGTTCAACGCCAGATACATTACGAAAGTAGAAACAAGGGATGGAAGATAGTAGAAGCCGCACAAAAGAGCCAGGAAATCTGGGATCTACTTCCAGCTCTGTCATAACTTTGTGTTATGCTAAATTTGTTTATAAACTTTTGAACCTACACATTACCTTTACTACCGCTGAGGCTAAAGTTACTGGACTCTGAAGTAGTTAGCAGCCAAAATGTGGGATAGAGAAATAAACCAGCTTTGCTGGCAGGAGCCGCCACGGGAAAGATCTACCCAGTGGCGTGGAACTCCGGGCGCCACCAGAACAGGGAACAGGGAGCAGGGAAGGGCTGTGGCCCCACCGCGGGGCTGTCACCGCTGCCATCCCAGCTGCTTTCTAAGGAAAACGGGGAGAAACGCCCCGCGGCACCGCCGCCTCCCCACGGCCCGACCCGAGCGCCGGAGCTCGCGGAGCTGCCGGTACGGGGCCGAGCTCTGCCTGCAGCCAGGGACCGCCGGCACCGCTCGGTCCGCGTCCCCGCCCGCTCGAACGGCCTTTCCCGTGAGGGCGGCACGGAGCAGCGGAGCGGCCCCGCGCCCCGGAGGAAGCGGCGACCCCGGGGCCACACGGCAGGAGCGGCACAGGGCGGGCCCCGGCGGCGACGGGCGCGGCCGGGGGAGCGCCGTCGGGACGTGGCCCGGGCAGGACGGTGGCAGTCGCTGTAGCGGTGGAGGTGACGGCGGTCCCGGTGCCCGCTCCCCTCAGCCCCGGCCCCCCCGGCGCTCCCGCCGCCCCCACTCACAACTCCTTGATCAGCACCATCTTCCCGCCGCTCCGCGCACGCGCCGCACCCGAGCCAGGCCCCGCCCCCGCCCCGCCGGCCAATCGCGCGCTCTCCTCAACAGGAGGCGCGCACGCGCCGGGCGCCGCCAATCCGAGGGCGCTCAGCTCCCGCGAGCGCACACCTCACCCGCCAGCAGCCAATCAGAACGCGTCGGGCCGGCTCCGGTGAGCATCCGCCCTCCCGTCGTTGCCGACGGGGTGACGTCATCGCCGGGCGCCGCACGCGGGGGGCCGGTGAGGGGCGTGAGGGGCCCGGCCCGGCGGGGAGCGGCGCTGGGGCTGGTCCAGGGCACGGTTCCGGCGGTTCCGGGTACCGAGCGCGAGCCTACACGGCAGCGGGACGGACCCTCCGCAGTGCCTGGCGGGCGGGGACGGGCCGGTGCTGCACATCCCGCGTTGGCCGCTCCGCGGTGTCAAGCCCTCACGGACCGCCGCCGTTGCCGAGTAGGGTCACCCCCATCGCCTTCCCAGCGTGTGGAAATGAGAAGCTGCAGTGTTGATGAATTTCGGGGAGCCCGTCCCCGCTGTGACACCGAGCACCGTGTCCGGCTCCGCCGGCCTTGGCACTGTCGCTCTGGGCGAGTGCTGCCAGCAGCGCCGCTGTGCCTCTGCCGGTCCCCTCCTCTGTCACACGGGGGGAAGCTAAAATTCCCTTTTACGATCTGTTTCAAGCAAAATCCTTTACCCGCGGATCCCAGTTAACTCTGGACTGCCCCTGTATTGCCACGCAAAGGAAAGCACACCAAATCCTTAGCAGACTCGGTTTCCACGGCCAATGCCGCCCTCTTGTGAGACCACTTGTAGCCTCCACCGCAGTCACAAGAAGGACGACAGGGATTAATTACGACCTGACAACCTAACAAGCTTCAGCCAGGCCGGGGCTTCGACCTTCAGCTGGCATTAAAAAATAAAAAATGAAAGGAGTCTGCAGGTCTAAAAGCTCAGAAACATTGAAAGAAGGCTGAAATTAGCCCCAAGTGGAGCCCTTCCAGGCTGTGAGGAACCTGGAACACTGCTCCTGGAGGAGAGGAATTCCATGGTACCTCGGGGGTGCTGTGGGACAGTGATACTGGCCAGTGCAGGACAGTGACAGGGACAAGTTCTACTGAGGCTCCTGGCTGGGGGGCAGAGGGATGGGACCACCAAAGTGTGCTCAATTTGGATTTATCCTGGTTTACATAATGATTGAAGTTATCCTGTGGCAAAATGTTGCCGTAAGAACAAACCAGCCAGGAAACATACTTTCACTTTGAGGTTCTCAAAAACTGTAATTCAGGGAGAACTACAGGATTTACTTAAAAAAATTTATTCTAAATATATTGATTTGCTTTCTAGTTCCTGAGCATTAGCTTTCTTTTTTTCCCCAGATGTTTTCAACAGCCATACAGACTTCTACTTTCCCTCTGTTTGAAATGCACGCACATATGTAAAACCAGGTAAACTGGAAAGGAAAAAACAACCACAAGCTCCACTTGTGTGCAATGGTGCATCCTTTTCCCCAGAGGTGACCCATGACCCTCTCTGCAGCCCCTCTGGCTCCCCTTCCCCTGAGAACCCATTGTCCCCCACATTTCCTCTGACAGGAGCCAGAACCAAGGAGGCATTTACACAACAGAAATCCCGATAAAATTCAGCGTTGCCAAACTCCCACATAAATGTCTGTAAGGAAAACCCTTGGCAGGCTCTTCCCATGGACTTGTATTTCCATGGAAGTCCTTGAATGGTGACTCAGGGTGCCCTGGCTCTGGCCATGAGGCACAGCAGTGATCAGGGCTGTGCTGGGGCACAGTTGGAGGGGGTTGTAAATCACTGTTTCCCCAAGCATTCAAGATTTTCCTTTATTTGGTTTTTCAAAACGCTGGCAGCGTGCATTCCCTGCTGCTGCTCCTTCCCCATATGGACAACATTTGTCTGGTGTTTGCTCAGTCCCCAAACCCTCTGTTTACAGCTGCATCCTGCCACACACGACAGTGACACAAGTAGCCACATCCAGCTGACCCCAGAGCTGGCACAGACAAACCACTTGAGCCCAGCTCCACCACAGCCCCACTTGAGGAAGGAACGCTTCCCCAGGAGTTGCTCCTCATGGCAGGGCTCCAGCCCAAGCTCACCCTGGGCAGAACCAGCACTGCCAGTGGCCCCTGGCTGCTCTCAGAGGCTGAGTGTGCAGTCCTGTGGCCCCAGTACAGCTTTGCGGGTTTGGTTTCACTGTCTCCAAAGGGCACTTTTCACATGGAAGCAGAAGGAAGATTTAACTCGTCAAGTTCCAGCTGGCAGCAGTATGGGGAGACATCCCTTTAGCACTGTTCTCTCACAACCCTCAGAGCTCCTCCCCGCCCTGTGACTCCTTCTGCTGTGACTACAAGAAACACGAGCAATTACTGGCTCTCCCACCACCTGTCAGGAGAACGAAAAGCATTTCCAATGAGCACTGGTAACAGGAACACTGCACTGCACAAAAAGGGGAGAAAAGTTCCACAGTGAGCTGAGGAGAGCTGCCGTGAGTTTCAGCCACAGGATGCAGTCACACAGGGGAGTCAACAACCACCCATCCCCAACATCCTTCCAGATTAAGAGACTGAGGCACTGAGAGAACTCATGCTTTAATAGACACTGAAATCACAAAGAAGAAAAGGCCAAATGCCTTAGCAATTTCAATAAAAATATGAAAATCTTTTTACATGGTAAATTTCATAATATAAAAAGTTTAATGCTGTCTGGAAACAGAGTTTTAATTTACAAAGAAAGTCCATAGAGGCCAAACATGGCTAACACTGCACATAGGGAGAGCGAGTGCTGAAGGGCTGCTGCTGGGAAGCCTCTGCTGACCATCCTCTCTGGGTCACTGTCTCCAGTGCTCTTCTGCAGCTGAGGGGACGAGTGTCCACACACACGTGCAGCCCTGCTGGGCAGCATGGCAATGCAATGAACCCGAAACTGCTCAAACCCATTATCACCATCCAGCTGAAACTACCAGTGCTTCCTAACAGATTCACAGACATCTCTGTGCCCCTGGATCTGTTCTGCAACTTGGAAGAGATGTTCACAGAACGAGCTTGCCCTAATGAAAGAAAATATGGCCTAGAGTGATATGCATGGGTGTAACACCCCATCAATGCTTTCTCCTTGTTTCAGTAAGGTATGATTAAACAGAAGGAAAACCAATATCAGGCCAGAGGTACAGGCTAACCAACAAAATCAAATTAAACTAGATTTTGATCACAGGGGTTGTTTACTGTTCCCATTTAGTTGGAGCTAAAGACAGTCAATAAAAAAATCAGAAATCTCAACACAGTAAAACATACAGGGCAAAACCAAAACATTTTGTGGCCTTGGGGAACGGTTGCATGTGGCAGGTTTAATGTGAAAGTGGTTAATACCTAATTGTTATTGCTCACTGTATTACGCAGTGTTGTCACTGGTACCATGCACAAATACAACAACGACAAATGCATTAAACCCACAGAAGGAATTCTAATAGCAAATGGAGAGCACGTGATTTTCATTTTCTGAATTTCTCCACGTATTGGGCAAACCTGATAAAACTCTTTTTTCCTCACAAAGGGGTCGTTTCTCATTCAGGAGGTGGAGGAGTGAGGGACAAGGTGTGCAGTGTCTCCCAGCCACGAGTAAGCATGCATTTCATGGCTCCTGGCAAGCCAATGGAAGTGACCTGTGCCAAGTCAAAGGAGACCTATTTCCCAAAAGACTTGTTCTAGTGACACTCACCTTCCATATTTATACAACATCAAATTCCCCAAATACTGAACTTTCTCTACATCCAAACCCTTCCCTGCTTCTAATGCTCCCCCCTCCTTAAAAACAACAACAGAAGAACCAGTCCCCCACACCCCCCACCCCGATTTAGCTCTGTCTGAAAGCTTTAAGCCAGCATGAAACCTGCTGGAGCACAGAAATGGGTTGTAACAAAATGGCAGCATAGATTTTCTACAGGTTAAAAGATCCTTTAGTTATGGAAGTAAACTACAACAAAGAGGCTTATTTCTGGCGTGTTATGCAGCACTACAGGGAGTATTTGCTGTTGCTATAAACAAAAAGCTGCCCACTTCCATCCTGGGTGTTCCTGGGATGTCGTTTCGAAAAGTTTATGCTGGTTAGAAACAGAGCAGGTCACATGAAGTTTCTCAGCAGTCCTGTGACCACAGCAAGTGGCATGATCAACAGCACCACTGTCTCCACAAGGGACAGACACTGTGCTGACTCATTTTGGCCCACTATTCTAATTTTTCCTGCCTAATGACACGAAGGTGATGTTTAGCACCAAACCATCATAGGAAGATGTCATGTACAGACAAATAACTTGCATCATAATGAGTTGAACAGATTGACTCAACTGTTCTGCTACATTGTGTATGAGTAGGTAACTATTCCTTCCCTCTGCACTGAAAACTTTGGTGATCCCCCCACCCTTGTAGTTGGCTGTAACAACCCAGCCCAGTATCCTTTGCCTTTAGTGCTTGTGTTCATTTCTTGCGACAATAAAAAGGAAAACATTCTCCTGAAACCAGCAGACTCCAGAATATTCTCACAGCATGCATCTGATTATGCCCTGTGAGTAAGCTGAGCCTAAGCATTTTCATGTTTCCATATCAGAAATTCTCTGCCCTGCTATGATGCTTTTCCTCCAAGATCCCTAAGAAAATCACAAATTATCAGATCCATGTTTACAACAAGAGCATCCAGCCATGCTAAGTACAATTCTCTGCATCAGCAACGTACCTTTGGTACGTCCACAGAGCTGCCTGCACTCTCCATTCAGCTGCAAGACTGGAAGTTGACATAAGATCCAGCTAAAACTCAGGGCCTAATGAATTCAGCCTCACAACACCTCTGTGAGGTAGGTAGGTAAGTATTACTATCCCCATTTAGATAGAAAGGGAAGACGAGGCACGGAGAGGTGAAGTGATTAGCCTTCAGTCACTCAGCCAATTCTGGGAGTGCAGAATAGACACCAAAAACCTTGGTGATACAGTGCTCTGACTT